GCAGGTCTTGTTGCAGAGCGACTTTGCCTGGCTCAGCTGGACACCAGCAGGTCCACAGGGGGCCAGGGTGGGCACAGACAGCCCAGGGTGCTCAGCAGCACCCAGCTCACCTCCTTGGCATCTGCGCTGGCCCCGTCCAGGAGCAGGGAGTAGAGCACATCCTTGCCCCCGATGAAGAGCCGGTCGCGGTACTCGTCCAGGTAGAGGGAGCGGAAGCCCAGGAAGCCGCGGTGGCCGAAGAAGGGCACGGAGCGGTTGGTGCCTAAAAGCTCTGCCAGGAAGAGATGAAAGCATCAGCAGAAGCCATCCCAGCCCCAAGGGTTCCTCTGAGCTGCTGTTTCTGAGTGTCGTGGGGTTGTGCTGGAGTCAGCAGAGCTGCTCACAGCCACCCCAGGCTGCAGCATGTCTCCATCCCCTCCTGGGCATGGACATCCAGCCTCAACCTGCCCGGGCTGCTGTTCACCTGCCAGCCAAGGACAAAGCTGCAGAGCCAACAATCAGCAGCAGGGTCCCAGGAAAGGTGCCACCCCCAGCAAGGTTTGGCTGAAGCACCCCAGACTCCTCCTGTGGCCGTGCCACAGCAAGCTGGGCTGTGCCATCAGCCCCAGGCTGGGATTGGTGAGACCGGACACAGGGTGGGTGCAAAGCAGGTCCTGTCCCTGCTGGGTGCCAGCCAAGGACACAATAGCAGGCACCCAGCCAATGCCATGGGGAAACTGCCACACAGAGCCCGCTGCTGCCACCAGAACTCACCGACAGGGTGGCTTCCTCCATGGCACAGACAAGGCACCTGGGGAGAAGCACCAGCACAGGGTATCCCAGGGATGGATGGCTGCATCCCTGGGATGGACATCACATCCCAAACAACAGGGTCTGACAGCCAAAGCTCCCAGAGCAAGTCCAAGCCTGAATCTCACGCCAAGGGGACCCTCACAGTGACGACAACACGGGGGCAGTGGCTCGACTGGTTTCCAGTGGAAATTACTTTCAGGGTCATCAAGCCAGCACAGTGGTGCCCACAGAGCTGCCACAACTGCCAGAGAGAAAGGGCCAGAGGGAATGGCTCAGCTTCACAGGGCTCTGAGAACCCATCCCGACCCCAGCAAGGCCACTGTGCCTGCCAGACAGAGAAAGAGGAGGACAAAGCGCCATTGATGAGAACAGCTCTGTCCCCAAACACCCTCCAGCCCGGAAGACTGCCAGCCACTGCTGCTGACCCCAGGGAAAAAGCCAGCCTGACCATCTCCCACTCATGTCCCCAGAAGAGGGGAGGTGGTGCTGGGACAAATCCAGTCATCACAGGTCAGGACACTGGGCTAGCAAGTCCTGCTGTTGCTGGGGGGACATTTGTCACTTCCAGCAAGGAGGTGGCCGGTGACATAATGCCCCATTCTGGTGGGAAATGCCACTTCTAGGCCCTGCAAGGGAGGCAAGGTCCATCCCCAGCAGGGGACAACAGACACCTTCCCCCCACCACACACGCTATCCCTGCTCAAGGGCAGCCCCAGTGCCCCAGCTGGCGATGCCAGTGGCACAGGGGTGCAGCCCCAGCGGCTCCATCCTCCTTGGGAAGAGCCCTGTGCTTGCAAGCAGAGCTGCTCCAGGCAGTGGTGGTCCCTCCACCCAGTCTGGCACCCTCCTCCCTGTGTCCTCCCTCACGGCCGGGTCCAGCCCAGGAAAACGCTGTCGTCTCCTTCTATTCTTGCCCAGCAATAATATTTTCCCAGCTCTAAACAACACTGGCAAAGTCGGCAGGCTCCTTTTATTGTTTCAGGCAAGGCTTTCCCTTCTCCCCCAGACCTGGAGAATTCCTCCTGCGCCTCGGGGGCGCCTTCCTCTGCAGCTCCCCAGGGAACAGCCCTTTGCCATGCCCCATCCCTCCCTGGGACACGCTGGCCCCCGGGTGGGGGTCCCTCAAAGAGCACAGGGCAATGCTTCTGGTCCTCACAACAGCAAAATGCTCTTTCCCCTCTCACATGAGAACTCGAAACAAAAGGAAAAGAGTGGCTGGAAGTGTGAGGGAGAGCTGGGTGCCATCACTGCACCCACAGCACAGTGCCTGTCCCTGTCACCCCACAAAGTCACCTCACAGCCAGAGCCAGCAGCCACGCAGAGCCCGGGTCGAGCAGCTCTGCACAAACAGCTTCAGCTCACCACGGTTTTCATTTCAGAGACTCTAATGTCTTTAATTGAAATTTTCTTTTTTTTTTTCTTCCCCCAGGGAGAAGGCGGTGGCAGAATTTGTTTCATGGGAAATTTCAGTTGCTGTTTCCAATTTGGAAGACGAATGGAATAATCAGCTTAAGGAAAAAAAAAGAAAAAAAGAAAAAAAAGAAGCTTCCAAAGGTGGCTCACTCCCCGTGGGAGGCTGAGGAGCTTCCACCCCGCCCCGGGCAGCTCCCTGCACCTGGGAAACGGCCCTGCACGGCTGGACTTTGTGCTGGAGTGGATCAGACACTGAGCCAGACACTGAGCCCCAGGATTCACCCCTGCTGAGACCCCAGATCTCCTCACCTGCTGCCAGGGCCAACCTGAGGACACCGGGTCACATCCCGGGCAGAGCCATGAGCCATCCCGGGCTCCCAGATGAGGGATGGGGGCACCGCGTGCCTCAGTTTCCCGTTCAGCAGAGACAGCCCCTGGGGTCACTGCTGCGCCCCAGGACAGAGCACGGGATGCAGGCGAACCCGGGAACCCCTGTGCCAGGCAGCAGAGGAGCAGACTTGCCCTGCCCAGGTCTTTCTCCCTTCTGGGAAGGAAGGGGGAAGATATACATTATGCAATTGGTTTTCTGTTGAGTTTTTCAGAGCAGGTTCATTGCTTTGAGGCCGGGAGGAGATTGGGGCGCCCCAGGCTCTGTCAGGTTTGGCTGGAGCAGCCCATGGATTAGGCTGGCAGAGCGGGGGATGCGGCGAGCCAGAGCAGGATCACAGGGAGAGTTTTAATTAAAACCAAGCACGGCCCCCGCACCCCCGAGGGGCCCCGGCACCGCAGCACCGCACCCCAGCACGGCGGGCCCGGGGGGTGCAGCCCGGGGACCCCCACCCAGCCGAGGGCAGGGTGCTGAGCCCCCACCCCGGCCGGGACCACCCAGCCCCGCAGCACCCACCCGGCACACTCGAGCCGAGGCGTGCCGGGCCAGCGCACCGCCGTGCCTCAGTTTCCCCGCACGCCGCGTGGGAGACGATCCCCCGTGGGAAGCGCGGGGCTGGCGCGGAGCCCGGCGGCACAGCCCGTGTCCCCGGCACCCTCTCCTCTCCTCCTCCTCGGGGATCCTCCGCCCCGCGTGGGGAGCGGAGGGTGCCGGGCAGCCACCCGCGGAACCCCGGCCCGAGCCGCAGCACAATTCGCCCGCCACCCGCGCCAAACCCCGCACCAAACCCCGCATCGACTCCACACCAAACCCCGCACCAAGCCCCGCACCAACCCCGCACTTGGGTGCAGCCCCGCCCTGGGGCTCCCCAGGTCCCCCCCGGCCCCGGAGGGGCACCCCGCGGTCCCCCCTCGGGGACAGCCCCGCTCCCGCAGCAGGTGCCCCGGCCCGGCTCACCGCGGTAGGACAGGCGGAGCCGGGGCAGGCTGTGCCCCGCCGCCCAGAGCCAGCACAGCGACAGCGACACCGCCACGGCCGCCCGCATCCCGCCGCCGCGCCCTCGGCCCGCCGTGGCACCGAGCTTTTATGGGGCCGGCATCCGACCGCCCCCGGCCCGCCCCGGCCCGCCCCGGCCCTGGGCGGCGGGGATGCGCGGGGGGACGGCCCCGTCTCCCGGGGGACCCTGAGGACTCCGCACACCCCAAAGTGTCCCCTGCCAGCAACGCTTTAGACCCTGCTGCAGTCCCCTTCCCCGGCTGTGACCCTGCCAGCACCTCTGGCTCGTCCCTGAGGATGGGGAGCGAGGCAGGGAAGCTCTGGTCCCCAGCCTCGCACTGCTGGAGGAGCAGGAGAGGGCATACAGACCTGCCCCTCGGGAAGGATGCTCAGCGTGGTGTGATCTCCAAGCACCAGCAGGCACACAGCTGTCAGGTCCCATCTCAGTGCCAGGCAAGCTGGGGACAGCAGGCCAGCTGGGGAAGGGGACTGAGTAGGGTCAGAGGGGCATAGGGTGCCACACACATGCCCGGCACACCCACAGGGCAGGGGAGGCACCGCTGTCTGACTGCAAAGGTGCCAACACCCTGGGCAAGGATCCTGGCCAGCAAGGACCCCACGGTACCCACACCACTCCCCTGCCATCCTCCCCAGAGGTGCCTGGGTCACGGGATGTGGTTGTACGAGACCTCAGAGAATCCACACTGGCTTCCCCTGGGAGCCTCATCACACAGCAAGTGTGTCCTGCACCCAAAAATGTTGGACTTCCCCCTGCACAGGATGGAGGGGAAGGAGTGGAGGAGCTGGTGGCTTCTCCCTCAGTGCTTCATCACCACCAGCCTCACCTCTTCTCCCAGCTCAGCACAGGACACCCTCACTATCCCCAGCCCCCCAAGGTTTCTTAATTAAAACAGAGGTCAGGAGGCTGGGGAGCCCTGGCTCACTCCCATCCTTTTGCAATGGAGCTGCTCTGGAAGTCACCTGAGCAGTGTAAAACCACCCCAATTCGCTCAGCGGGCCCTTGGTTTCCCCAGGAAGCCTCACGGCTGGGACAGATCCCACAGCCCGGGGCACTGGGAGCCACCCAGGGCTGGGAACAGGCGAGGAGGAGGCGCAGGATGGCAGCTCTGGCAGGTGAGCAGAGGCGCCTGCCCAGACCCGCGCGCTGCCTGCCCTGAGCTGAGGCTCTGGAGGGGGAGCAGGATGAACCCAGCGCCCGTCCCCCGAGGCTGGTGGGGAGCAGAGGCCCTCAGCCTGCCCGGGCAGGATCCTGTCTGTGCTGCTGTCATGCAGGCAATGAGCCCGGGGCAGGAGAGGCATCCCAGCAAACTGCACTGCACCAGGACATCCACAGTGAGACTCCATGGGTAGCACCAGCATGGACAGATAGACAGACTGCCCCACTCCAGGCTGTGCTTACCAAGGAGATTTATTGATAGGGAGAGTGGGCAGCATTGGCCCCAGCTCCCCCAGCAAGTGGGCAGGGAGGCAGGACAAGGCATGGGGAGGCAGAGTAGGGCACAGGCCAGCCCCTCACCACCCAGCCAGTGCAGCCAGAGATGGCACAGGGAGAGGGGGAGGCACTGGCAACACCAGGAAAGGCTGGAGGCACCTGGGCATGAGGCTCTCCTGGCACCTGACCAAGGGGGACACAACCCCACAGGTGTCACCATCAGGCCATCCCTGAACACAGCCAACAAGGCATGATGCCATCTACATCCCCAGCACCGTAGCAGGTATTTGCTGTGCCCAGCCCCTGCCCCTCTTCTTCAAGCCTTGGGTCTCTCTGCTTGGCACTCCCTGCCCCTCGCCAGGCACTCAGCCCTCGGCGGGCAGTGGGGGCACTGAGGCCAGGGCAGTCAGGAGGCGGGCATAGATCTCGATGCCCCGCAGGAAGACTTGCTCGTTCAGGAACTCGTTGTGGTCGTGCAGCAGCACCGGGGTGCGGTTCATGGGTGAAAAGCCAATAGCAGGGTGTCCTGCCTGGAGATGGGGAGACACAGAGTGAGGGCACAGCTGGCACCACATGCCCCCTTTCACCTGGACACAGCTCCTGCTTGGGGCTGCAGGTCTCACTGCAGGTGAGGGACCCGTGGCAGGCTGGCATCACACTCACCGCTCGGATGTAGCGGCTGTCGGTGGCAGCCGGGAAGATCTCGAGCTTGAGCTGCAGCTTCCTGCCAAGAGAGACCCTGTGTCAGCATGGACACACAGCCAGCCGTGTCCCCTGTCCTGCTCATACCCCATGGGCAAAGAGACTGTGCCAGGACACCTCTAGCCCTGCAGGACACTCAATCCCATCCCTTTTGGGAGGCAACAGGGAGATGCTTTGGCAAATCCCCATCCCAGCCCCTGACATGACCTCAGAGACCCCCAGGGACCACCTGGCTTCCACCAGAGGATGTCCCTGCCAGGGTCCTGCCTTTCCTAGGGACACTACTTACATGTCCCTACAGACCCCACTGAAGGCCTTCCACCATGGGTCCGACTCCTCAGTGGAGGTGGTGTGTTGGTCCATGCATTTCTGACAAAAGGAAGAGGGCAGATGAAGGGGTGGCATTTGGCAGGGGAGGGACAGGGGAGGCCAGGTGGCTGAGATCCCTCACCTGGTGGAACTCACAGGTGACACCTTCCCCAGCGTCACGGCACCACGTGGCCACCTGTTTCTCAAAGGCCTGGGCAGAGACCAGAGAGGGGTGTGAGCAGGGTACCCTCATCCCAGTCCTCTCCTGGGTGGGGCTGGCATGGTGCCCACCTTCAGGTCCACGGTGGGTGGGATGCGGATGTCAAAGCTGGCAGCCATCTCAGAGGGCACCACGTTGAAGGAGACTCCTCCCTCCAGCATGGTCATGTTGAGAGAGGTGACATCCCCTAGGGTCAGGCTGGAGTCGGACTTGAGCCTTGGAGGATGCAAGGGACACTCACTATCTGCCACCTGGGGAGAAGTGCTTCCCTACCCTGCCGTCACCCAAAATGGGGAAACTGAGGCACAGGGCAGCAGCACCAGATCACAGCTTGGCTTGGGAACCCAAAGGCCCCCTTCATGGACTGAACTAAGCCACTGCCATCCTGCTGCCCGTCTCCTACCTCTGCTTCTCGCTCTCCCTGAAGGCCAGGAAGGAGTTGATGACTTTGTGCTGAGGAGGGAAGGGCAGTGGGTGAGCACCAGCCCTGTGGGCAGGGCCTGGCAGCCCAGGGCGGGCATGGGGGTGCACAGGGGACCCCTCTCTTACCATCTTCTCAGCCGCCGTGTTGCTGATGAAGCGGGACCCATGCCCGGGGCTACCCACGCACTTCACCTTTATCCCTGCAGCAGTAGGTGCAGAGGGTTGAGCAGAAAGCCTGGCATAGCACCAGTGCCCCAGCACCCAGGAGACCCAAGGACAGGGCAGTGGACACACAGATACTCACACCATGGGCTCCTCTCACCATAGAAGACACTGAAGGTGTCAGATGGGCTGGCCAGGCCTGTGGTGGGCACAGACAGAGGGTCAGGGGGACATGGAGGTACCATGATGTGCCCCCTCTGCTCTGTCCTAGCAGCATTTTCCTCCAGACTGGCACTCCCCACTGCCCAGGGGAAGGATCCCCCAAGGGGGTCCCTGGAAGCATGTGGGGTGCTGGTGCCTGGGGAGTGATGCCAAGAGGAGACACGTCCCAGTGCCAGCCCTACCAATACTCACCCTCATCCATGGCAAAGCCCACGTTGAGTGCTTTAAACTCAGGGCGCTGCACGAACATCTCCATGCCCTTGTGTCCGCCCACCTCCTCATCTGTGGGTGAGAGCCTCGCATGGAGGAAGGAACTGGGGCATCCCCCAGCCCACCACCCCTAGTCCTCCTTCCATGCCAGCCTGGATGCCACCAGCACACCTGATGTCCTCTCCAGCCTTGAGCTAGGGGAGGTCAGAGTCTGGGGAACCTGACTGGGTGGTGCCTGGCTGCCACGGGAGACTCCACGGCACCACCCAGCTGCCAGCCCCTTCTGTACCTCCTGAGAGGGGACAGAGGGACAGCCTGGGGACTCACCAGGCACAAAGGTGAGGTGGATGGTGCGAGCAAAAGACTTCCCTTCTGTCTTCAGCCTCCGGATGGCCTCAAGGTACCTGGCAAGGGAAGGTACGGTCATTGTGGAGGAGAGGGGCTTGTGTGCTCTGAGCCACCTCGGGGCAGAGGTGGCACCTCTGGCTCCAGAGACCCTGGGGATAGTGGCATCCTGTCCTGCATCGCTCAGGCACCAGCAGCACCGTGCTCACCCAGCAGGGGCAGAGCCCTCCACTCACTGGATGGAGACGCACTTCATATCCTGGGCACCCCGGGCGTAGATGTTGCCTTGCGAGTCTTTAACTGCCTCGAAGGGCGGGTAGGTCCAGTGCTCCTGCAGGGAACAGCACCCACGATGGCAGAAGGAAACAGAAGGCACCAGCTCCCCTCCACCCTGTCCTCCTCTCCATGCCCTTCCCACCCCTGGCTCTGCTCCAGCACCTCGAAGACAGGCACAACGTCAGTGTGGGAGTTGAGCAGGATGGAGCGCAGGCGGGGGTTCGTGCCCTGCCAGGTCAGGATCAGCACCACACGGCCCTGGCACACCTGTGGGACAAGGCAGGATGTCACCAGGGTCCAGGATGGAGACAGAAAGGCTTGGAGATAGACAGCAAGCTGGAGCCAAAAAGCATCAGCTTGGGAAAAGTTTCTGGTTGCCACCTCCCTTACTCCACTGGGAGAGGGCAGGCAGCAGGAGCAGGCCTGCCTGACCCCCACAGCCAGACAGAGCCCGGCTGCAGGTGCCAAACCTGGCTGAAAATTCAGAGGAGGGAAGACAAACCGAGCATCTTCCCCTGGTGCCCAGGAGTCTCCCAGGACAGCCAGGGCCCAGCAGGAAGGATGGCCCCAGGCAGTGTGACACTGCCAGGTCCCCTGCTAATCATAGCACGGGCAGCTGCAAAGGTCAGCAGGGAGCAGCCGGAACACTGGCTTAAGGAAGGGCTCAGGTCAGCACAGGATTACAGGCACAGGGGATTCACTCCTGCCTAGCTCTGGGTGCAGGCACGGGAACATCTTGGTCACTAAGGTCCTGAGAACAGGTGGATAGAGGGATGGATGGGTGGGTGGACAGACTGAAGGCTGCTTCTTGGCTTGCTCACCTCCACTTTTTGGCAGGCCAAGCCCAGCTCGGTGCCGACACGTTCCAGAAACTGGACAGCCGCATCTGGGGAAGAGTGGGGATGCCCATGGTTACACTGGTGTCTCTCACTGCAAACCCCCAGGGACCCCAAGGCTCTGTGGGATTCCCAGACCAAGGAAAGAGGTGACAAAAAAGGACAGGTGCCACAGGTCCTGGACACAAGAAGTGGCCATGAACAGGGAGGGGAGCAGCTCATCACCATCCCTTTAGGGTGAGGACTAGGGAAATATGAAAAGAATAAAAATGGAAGGGGGGTGAGTTCAGGGGGAATGTTTCTCCAGTGGAGTTTAGGGAGCTCCTTACCAATAAAATGCATTTTAGTGGGAAGACATAAATGTTAACAGAAGGAGATCTACACAGAAGGAGATCACCCATCCCAAGGCAGCACGGAAAGGGGAGCAAGGGGCACGGGGCTAGAAGAAGCAAACAGAAGCTCTGAGGGCACTTGAGATGTCCCTGCCCCAGCCAAAGGCACCAGCAGAGATAAGGCACAAAGGAGTTCGCTCCTTAACACCACGATCAAAACAGGCCCAGCACAGGACTTGGGCACCTGGGTCCAAAGATCAGCAAAGCTGCATTACCCAGTCCCCACATGGCTCCCCGTCCTTCCCCCATCCTCACCATAGTCAGGTTTAGGGTGGACAGTGTCAATCCTCAGGTACTCCCGGAAAAGCGTAACCGAGGGGTTCTCTGAGGCCCCCGTGCTCTTCCCAGGCTTCCCAGGTGCCATGTCTGGGACCAGGGCTGCAAAGCTCTGGGGAAAGAGCTGCAAGATGGTTAATCACCCACCAGCCCCTCCAAAGTCCGCCCGCGTTCTTGGTCGTCACAGAAACCAAAGGGAGATGGGGCAAAGGTCTCCCCCATGCGACTCCTGGGACACTGCCACCACGGGAGAAATCCCCCCACTTGGGTACAGGGCAGGATGGGGTGTGCCCCCCACACTGTGCTGTCATTCTTCCCCCAAAACACATGTTCCTGCCCCAAACACAGTGCCAGGACAGGCTATGGTGCCCAGGCAAGGGGTGAAATCCAGGGAAGGGCTGGCTGGGAGGAAAGGGGACAGCTAGGTGGGGGAGTATGAAGAAGGGTAAAGGGGAAGAAGGATATGTTGGGTAGGGAGACATGGTAGTTGGGATTTTCCAGGGGTTAGAGGTTTGTGGGAATGCTGGGGGGTGCAGGCAGGGAAGGAAGGAAGCTGGTGTAAGGGGGTGCAGGTGGGGAAAGGGGGCTACTGCCTGGCTAGGGGGTGCAGGAGAGCTGCAAGGAAAGGCTCTGGGGGTGCAGGGAAATGGGAATGGTGAAGGGGGATTGAGTGCTAACAGAGAATAGAGGTACTGGGGGATCACATTAGGGTGACAGGCTACTGTGGGAGCTGTTTGAGGGAAGCTGGAGGAGCAGGAGGATGTGGGGTGCTTAGGGGTTCAGCAGGAGGGGTGAACGGGGGTATGGGAGCAGGGGGTGCAGAGAGGATAGGAGGGGCGCAGTGGGACTGTGGTTAGGGGGCAGGGGTACAGTGGTTAGGGGTGCACAGGTGGGGTACAGGGGGACCATGGCTGGGGTGCAGGCAGTGGCACAGTGGGGTGCAGAGATCTTGCAGCTGGGATGGAGGCACACCATGGTTAGGGTCGAGGGCAGCGCAGGGGGCACTGTGGGGCTGCGGGGGTACCGTGGCCAGGGGGGTACGGGGTGAAGCAGGGGGTATGGGACAGGATGAAGCAGGGGGTACAGGGTGAAGCAGAGGGTGCGGGGTGAAGCAGGGGGGGTACAGGGTGAAGCAGGGGGCGGGCAGGACACCATGGTTAGGGCTGCGGCAGCTGCGTTACTGGGGTGCAGGCGCAGCACGGGCAGAAGGGCAGAGGGGTGCTGGAGAGCGCGGCTGGGAGCGCAGAGGGTGCCAGACACCACGGCCAGGGGCAGAGCAGCGCGACAAGGGAGGCAGGACAGCAGAGGAGGGGTGCAAGGGCAGGGGTGCAGGGTGCCTCGGCCCGGGTTTGAGGGGGGCGAAGGCACCGGGGCACCCACCCGCGGGCTGCCCGGCCGCTGCCCGGCCCCCGCCGCCCCGGCCCTACCTCAGCGCCGCCGCCGCTCCCCGGCCGGG